ATTTATTAACAGAATATAATGTGTTTATTTTAGTTGCAAAATAATTGACATGTGGAATGAATCATGGCTGGTAACAGACAATGAACAGAATTTTGAGCTTTAGTGTTAATGTTTTTTTATACACATTTGTACCTGATTGCTTTCATTTTAGAGTGCTGTTTCTAAACATCTGTCAACTAATTGTTTGCACGTTGAGATTGCAACTACATACAAGTTGATGTCCTCCGCTCCGTAAGACCGAATGTTCCCCAGGGAGTGATCTTTCCTCAGGAACAGGGTCTCTACAGGATTTCCAACACCTTGCACTTCCAGTTTTCATGTCACCAGGTGTTCTTTATTTAAAACCCTATAAGGGAAGATGAAAACAAATCAGTTGTCTCACACATATATACTCTGGCATTTTGTTCTTTCACATTGTCCTAAAGATTAAAAAAAGCACTTTTTTTTGCATAATGTGAAGCTTCATAGAGTTCACTATTTTTTCTTATTCAGAAACCATAGTCATTTGCCATTTTATCTAAACCATTACAAACAATCCAAGAAGAGAACAATATTGAGAGGGAGAACAAAGGTCATGAAATAACTCGGCTAGATAAACGAAAAAGCAAGCCAAAGTTAACATGACGGTTGTGACATATTAAACCAGTTCCAGGGAGGGGGAGGGGAGAGATGAGGTTTTTTAAAAGTATGCACGAAAGCCTGCATGTTCAACATGTGACCTTTAGTTGTCACGTTTGACACCATAATCCTATTTTTATTTAACTGAAATGACACATTCAAAGGTGAGACTTTCTCTGAGACTGTGTGCTCTTACACAGACAAGCATTCTGCCATTACAGTAAGGAAATTGAAATATCAGCAAATAACCATCTCTGGATAAGGAAAAAAACAACAGAAAATATGATAGTTAGGCGATAGTGAAAGTCAATGATTGCTATGTTTATCAGGAACATCTTAACAACTGTTGTGATTGTAGAAGCTCAAATAAAACCAATGCTTAATATATGATATAATAAAATAATATATTGGTAACACTTTAGAAAAAGGTTTAATTTATTAACATTAGTAAAGGCATGAATTGATAATGATGATTCACTGAAGAAGGCTGATTGCCGCAACGTTCGATCTTGATCTGTATGTGCCTTGTTGCATAATAAAAAACTAATAAGTTTTGTTTTTATTTGAAAGTATTGCAATTTTCACTGATCTACGCACCCAGAAAAAAAGTTGAGTGCAGTGATTTGATCTTTTTTGATTTGTTGAACTATGAATAATACTTTTATTAAACTTAGTTTATGTTCATTTCTGCATTTTTAAAACAGTATCATTGTCATCAGTAAATGTATTATGAACTAGTATATTTATCAATGAACATGAACATGCTATGTTAGGGTTTATTCTTAAATATTTCCTGTTGTGTTCATTTTCTTTTTAGCAGCAGCAGCACATTTATGCTAGTTTGAATCTGTTTACTTTGAACATGTGATATGTTTATAATAAGGGATGAAACCATGCCAGCTCATGCGCTAGTCAGGAGCTATGAGTTCACTCAGCTGGAGAGTTACATCAGCCATGTCTATATTACATTTCAGCTACCTGGGGAAGCAGCACCAAGGCCCAGTCAACATCCCCAAAGGACTACAAGCAGGAAATGTGACAAGTGTTTACTCAAGCTTAGTGACATCTCCAACATCAAGCAATCTGCTGGGGTACACCTGAGCCCCAGGTGTGCATGCAAGTCTGCGAGGTTTGTGTGTGCATTTTAAAATCTTTGATAATGAAACATAAGGTTCACACATGGAGAAAAACCACAATAAATGTTGATTATTTTTTGTTGTTGTCCTCAAAAGAGTAAAAGGAGACATGAACTTAAGTGCACCAGAATTGTGCAATAAATGGGTTCTTGATGTTTCGCAATACATTTCCCATGTTGTTTTTTAGTGAACTGACCTTGAATAACACAGATCCGTGCCATCTACAACCCACATGTGACTAAGAATATTTTACACTTATTTAGCCTGCCAAGAGATTGGAGCCTCCTCCACATTATGCTCCGTTGATTTCACCGCTTTCCAGTACCTGCTTGACAAAGGTTTCCCCTCTGTCTGGCTTGGCAGCCAATGACAGGAGGACACCGCATCAGGCCGGGGACTGTGTGTAAAGCAGCGCATCTGATGACAACACCTCAGCTGCTTTGCTAAGCAAATAAGGATGAACAAGTGTTTTGATTAAATGTTAAAATGTAATGTGCCAGTTTATGTATAGTTGACTGAACTAACACGAAAATGATTGATCCTTTGATATAATGCAATTTACCATCATGCAACATTGTTAATTACTATATTTTGTATTTTGCACAAAACCTATTGAACAATTACAACATGCCCAAATGGTGGGACACGTAAAGGGGTAAGGTGTCACAATGGAAGTCATTAAACAGCCATTTTTCTGCACAATTGAAACAGAACAGCAAATTTGAAGCATAAAATTATTAATGTAATAGTAAAAATGGAAAATGTAACAGAATATGAAAATATTGCATTGGTAATAATAATTTTATAAAAGTTATATACACTATACAATTTATTAGAAACCTGTACAACTGCTTGTTAATGCAAATATCTAATCAGCCAATCACATGGCAGCAACTCAATACATTTAGTCATGTAGAGATGGTCATGATGATCTGTTGAAGTTCAAACTGAGCATCAGAATGGGGAAGAATAGTGATTTAAGTGACTTTGAATGTGGCATGGTTGTTGGTGGCAGACGGGCTGGTCTGAGTATTTCAGAAACTGCTGATCTACTGGGATTTTCACACACAACCATCTCTTGGGTTTACAGAGAATGGGCTGAAAATAAAATATCCAGGGAACACCAGTTCCGTGGGTGAAAATGCCTTGTTGATGCCAGAGGTCAGAGGAGAATGGCCAGACTGGTCGAGCTGATAGAGAAGCAACATTGACTCAAATAACTACTCGTTACAACCGAGGTCTGCAGAGGAGCATCTCTGAACGCACATAACACCAAACATTGAAGCTGATGGGCTACACACTGGGTGCCAAACCTGTCAGATAAGAACAGGAAACTGAGGCTACAAATCACACGCGCTCACCAAAATTGGACAATAAAAGATCAGGGAAATGTTGCCTGGCCTGAGTCTCAACTTCTGCTGCAACATTCAGATGGTAGGGTCAGAATTGAATGTAAACAACATAAAAGCATGGATCCATCCTGCCTTGTATCAACGGTTCAGGCTGCTGCTGGTGGTGTAATGGTGTGGAGGATATTTATTGTATTTATATTTTCTTATTTTCTGGCAACATTTAAATGCCACAATCTGAGTATTGTTGCTGACCATGTCTATGTAAGACTGGTTTTCCTGCTAAGACAGACCATGAGATCAAACACTGCAATAAAACAATAAAACTCACTAATCTGAAGAGAGATCTCAAAGAAAGAGCATAGGACACTGCCTTGGCCAGACTTTTCTCCTGGCTTATCTATGAGCCTCCCTCTCCCTACTCCCCTCCTTTCACCCTGGCTCAAGTCACTAAAAAGTTCACAAACAATATACCACTTATGATTTCTCTTATGATTCTATTGTTTTTTCCCTTTCATCTTTGGTATTATTTTAAGTGTCTGAATGGTAAAATGGTCTCAATTATCACAGCAGTCTCAAGCAGTCCCCCTTGAAGGGGGGTCGCACACCGGACGAGAAGCGCAGTGCAGCGCCGCGCCACGTCTAGGACAACTCCAGGTAACGCACACCGGACGCGCACATTCTAATCGCGCGAGCTCAATTTTGAATCAACTCCTGGTAGAAGAGCTGCACGATGTGTGTTTTATCTTGATTCATTTTTTTTTTTTTTATGTTCATTGAATAATAGCTGATGTTTGACCGTTAATCAAGTAAAAGTGTCTATCACGTTGAGTCTGTTATTTTGTTGTAACGTTATCCGTTGTCTAGGCAACTATGTCACATAATACAATAGTATTTATTTAGCTAGCGTTTAGCTAACCCGAGTGAAAACAGCACGGGGTGAAGCCATGTACATTAACGACGATTTGAGACAAATAAATGTAAATTTAATATAAAACTAAAAATCTGGTCAGGATAATCCTCGAATAATTATTCTAGGAAATTCGAAAATAAAAGGATAATTAAACAGTATTGCTATTATAATCTATCCTATAAACCTATAATACTTTTTTTTTTACAAATTCCATAAAATCTTCCTAGGGGACAGAAATGTTTCCTTAATTGAAGAATCACCCATATACTGCACTCAATAATTTTACAAAGGCTTAAAAAAACAACATTTTGTATTATTATTTTAGACCAAATCTAAGGTAATCATATAGTTTATATGCTTGTGCTTTTGGTGCATCTTGCCCAAATGAGAACATAGGTGGTTAACCACATAATAGATGGAACCCATTTCTAACGGCAACCTGCAAACAGGATATGCATCTGAAAAAAATATATATATGGAGGTGTTAAGTACATCAGCATCTTCTAGTACAACTTGAGGCTATTTTCATGACCGCTTGCTACTGTTGCGGTTAGAGGCCCCTCACTCGACCTCTGAGGCCCTCGCTTACAGGTGTGAGTTCACAGAGAACATGTATCCCCAAACTAGATCACATACACTTTAAACATTTAAAGCAGTTCATTTATCAAGTAAACTACACCAACCATGAATATTTTGTTCCCTTCTAAATAGCCTGTGTATCTCCCTATTGATCATAAGTGTTACATGGATTTTGTGGTCATTACTCTGATAGCATTACATGACAGTACACTGATATCATTAAATGATAATACACTGTAAAAAAAACACACACAAAAAAAAACATGATAGACCAACAGAATTCCCCCAAATGTTGTCCCATTTAGTCAAACAACAAAGAATTACATATTGAACAATACTTTTGAAATGTTAAGGGTTCATGAGTTCCCAACATGCATTGCAGTGTGAATAACTTGTACATTTACTGTAATGGGATTACTGTTTTGCTGTTTGCCGTCTTTATTCAAACTTTTGTTGGTGTTTTGTCATTATTGTTAGTAACTAGTCGTGATGTTAAGAGCTCATCTTTTTAAATTTGTTGATTGTCACCATTCCTGAGGTTTGTGTGTCCAGTGCTGAGGTCCTGAATATGTTTGCTTTGTAGGACAATTTCTCCTTCACAAACAAAGATGCATGGATCATTTAACACAATAAGTGTCCTAAAAGTCTATATGTAAAGCTATCAAAGTGTTAGATCAATTTATTGAAAAATTTGCAGCAAAGTCATGTTACTTAGGAAAATTATTGAGGGAGAACTTATACAGAGAAAAGTTTTTTTTTTTTTTTTTTTTTTTTTTTTTTACAGTGTAAATGTGTCAGTTTCTGATCATCTATCATAAATGGTCACATATTGAGGATAAGCTACCACTGAAAAAGGGATCTGGAAATGAAACAATATTGACATTCAGCCAAGCTGGAATTTTTTATTACTATTTATTTTAAATTTCTTTGCAAAATTCAATGGATGTAATAAATCGAACCATTACAAAGAACTATAAATGACAGACAAATAATATGTTTGTTTGTTTCTCAGTGCCATGTCAGCTTTTCATGGCAAAATCCAGGTTAAATGTAATAGAAGATAGAGCACGAACAATAATAATAACGATGTGTGGATAACCTTGTGTCTCCCGCCTGCTGGCCCTGGTATGTTTAGTCTAAGGTCATTCAGGATGTTTCTGGGTGTACTGTTTGATAGTTTCAACAATAGTTGAAACCTCTGCCATGGCACCTTTACCTGTGAAGATACAGAGGCTGGAATGTAAGACGGGCCAAAACACAAGAAACATTAATTCATTAAATCCTCAGAAGCATGCTAATAAAAGCCTGTCATATAACATCTGTTTGATCTTCAGTTAATGAATAATGCATGGCTGATTCTCACACACCGATGAGATTTTTTTTATCTGTTCCATTCTCCCTTATCAATGCAATTGCCTCGTAAAAACACATTCTTGGAAGATACCTTCATCTCCACAGACGAGTTTTTTGGAAATGCATGGTATCTCAACGTAGCCAAAGCCTTTAAGTGTGGCCACTTGCTGTGCAGTGATAGGGTGCTTCCACATGGCTGTGTTCATAGCAGGACAGAAGAGCAGAGGACGGCTGCTGTCCCAGGCCCGCACCACACATGTCTGTCATCAACAAAATGGCTAAGTATACTTATATAATAATGCATCTAAAGAAAATCCATATAAAAGGCCCAACAATGTCATAAATACATTACCTACCAAAAGGTTGTCACATATTCCACTGGCAATTTTGCCAAGCGTGTTGGCATCCAGTGGAGCAATCACTAAAAGATCTGCCCAACGTCTAAGTTCGATATGTAGCACAGGGTCAGAGCGCTTTGTCCACATCTAGCATAGAAATATAAGGAAAGGCTTTCACACCTTCAACTAAAACTCTCATATCAGGTCAATTAGTGTATTGATGTAACATCACAGCAGGAAACAATATAATGTTGTTGTTTGATTACTGAAAATGCATCTCTTCCTCTTCAAAGGCTGTCCTCACCTCCCATTCATCCTTATCTCTGTACACACAAACAGAGACTTCACTGATATCGTAAAAATGAGTTGCATGGTCTGTGGTGACCACACGTACATCAACCTAGAGAACAGAACAGGGAAAAAAAAAAGATCGGTTCACCGAAAAAAACTCCTATGCAATTTATCCCATCCCTCAACTCATATTTGACTGACACTTAAAATCATTAAAAAAATTCACAAAACAGGGCTAACAACTTTTTTATGACAAATATGTTTTTTTTTATTTGATTAAATTTTATTTATTTATTTACTCATTTGTAAGTCAAATAAATTAAACAAATATGGTCAATTTATTTGTAAGCCAAATAAATAAATGGACACACTATTATGCTTTTAATATCCTCCATTTTATTTATTTTGAAGGACAAAAATGAATGACAACATCCACTCAAACCAAAAATTAAACCTTAGTTGTGATAAAAAAGAAAACCAATATGATTTCTATCTTACAAATTTTGAGTTTATTATTTATTCAATAAATCATGACATGTAGTCATTTTAAAATAACGTATAATGTTTAAAAAAATTGCACCCTCTATTGGACAAATGTGTGAAATGAAAATAACATTGGAGGACATGTGGCTCTGTCAGCTTCAAGCATGCATACACAGTTTGACCTGTCGGAATATAAATACACTTACCCCTGGAATCTCAAGTAGTTGTGTTACTAACAAAGGCGCCTTGAGTGCAGCTACACTGCCAGTCAAACCGACCAGAACATTAAACCTTGTACTATGTGTTTGCAAGTCTAGTTTACGATTAGATTCAGAATCCTGCTGCATTATATATAATAATAGCAATCTTCGTGTTAACTATACAACCTTTTTCTATTTGATTAGCTCCCCCTTTCTAAAGCATTTCTTTTGTAAGGTATGATATTTGTATAATCCATCTTTAAATTGTAGCACGGGATGAGGAATTTAATTGAACACTTAAATTGCACATTTAATGAGAAGTGTTTAGAGTCCGTGCACGTTAACGGTCGCTCATTCTATCTTCAGGTTTTATTTTTGTCTAACGTTACTTCCGTAAACAGTGGAGAAAACGCGACGTCACAGCGCCGTCGCTGGCTGGAAGTGTACACAGTAAAATGCTCCATGAAGCTGGCGAACGGATAATATTCCTACATATAATTTAAGAGGATTTACGCCTTTATCTATGGAAATTAAATTTCCAGAAAATAAAATCGTGACGAATTATCCTACCCATAATCCATAAGGGCAGCTCAATTACATCATATATTTTGTATTTCATGCTTATAATAATAGTCTATGAATCCATGCACATCGTACATTTTCTTAATTTATTTATAGCTAATGTTGCACATTTTATATATTGTCGTTCTTTTATTCGATTACGTCATTCCCAGTGCCTCATGGGCAGCGTAGTTCATTGGCTCATAAAAGACTTGTCTTGTGCCTTGTGTCTTTTTATCTTATTTTCAAATGCTTAATTTCTTTAAACCAATGTTTGAAATTATATTCGTCTCATGGCTGGGTGGTTTGGTTCAAGGCATAGAAGTCATTATTGAGGAGTTTTAGAGGAAATAAATTAGATACTTCCGGAAAATTGAAAAGTGGGCGGCGAGTGTTGCCTTTACATGCGCGCACGCGCATTCGAAGAATATTCTGGACAAATGACAGAATCGCTGGAAACGTCTTCCGGCTGCTTGATTCAAGATTTACATTGCCTGTCATTCATTGTTAAATCTGAGTAAAACACATTTTAATGTGAGTATTTGCAATGCAGGCTCTCACACCTCACGTGTACTGGGCACAGCGGCATGGGGAGATATACCTGCGAGTGGAGATCAGTGATGCACAGGTAAGAAAAACTTGCTTTTATGAGGCAATTATATCATAATAGGCAATGCATTTTTATCTTCTTCTTTCTTTTCGCATTTATTGCATTTAATATGTATGCACATCCAGATTTTTAGGTTACAGAACCTTAAACTGGATGGTGTTAGGTTGATATTCTTTTGAATAACAACACCTTCTGTAGGTCTGATGACAGGACTTGCATCAAGCCTAGATCAGAATAAAGATAAAGATTACGAAAAGGGAGATCAGGACTTGATCCTACTGGACCACTAGCCATCTGGCTCAGTTACAATGGCAGGGCATGTTTTATTTACAATCCAGTTTCTGATAGAAAGAGGAACTGCCCCCTTCCCCCTCATTGCTTTCTCAGGGCAGGATAAAGCATGTTTGACCTGTCCTCTCACTAAGGTAATGAGAGAAACGCATTTTACAACCGAGAGCACTGGAACAAAGGTGGTATAAAGGTGCCGTGGTGTAGTAATACGGTTGCTATGACGTCCCTTTATGCAAATAAATTTGTGTATTGTACATGTTAGAAAGGTATTATTACATTGTTTTCCCTTAGTATGTCTCCATATAACTCAGAAATGCAAAATAAAAGTATAACATATGCCAAAACCTAATAACATCAGGCACACTTTTTAATTGGCCATGCGATTAAAGGAATGGTTCACTTAAAATGTCATCATTTATGTACTCACCCTCATGTTGTTCCAAACCTTTATGAGTTTCTTTCTTCTGTTGAACATAAAAGAAGATATTTTGAAGAATGTCGGTAACCAGACAGTTGATGGACCCCATTGACTTCCATAGTAGAAGGAAAAAATTAACTTTTAAGTGACCTATTCCTTTAACCCAAGTCCCATAAATCAGTGGTTCTCAACCTTTTTTACTCCAATGCCACCAATTGTCCATAATGTTTTTCAAAGGCAACATGTTTCCAGTTGTTTGTTATTTACTGGATAAGAATTTTTAAATAACCTAACATTTATAAAGCTTGGCATAATTAGAAAAATTCATATTCATAAAAAATGCCCATGGAGTTATAAGATTTTATTATTTTTTCAAGGTCTAGAAATCATACTTTTATCATTAAATGAAGAAAAAAACAGTTGTTCGGAGGTGAATTAAAATAAATATCTTAATTCAGGAAGCCTGAAACGGTGACTTATATTATGCAAACCATTCATTACTGATGCATTTTTTTATTTTTTTATAACTACATATTATAATATCTTTCAGATGCATGGTGCATTTGAAGGCATTGTATTGATATAACAGGCAGTGGGAGGAGGAGCTTGAAACTTCACACTTGTTTTTTTTCACTCTGTCTCTTATCGCAGAATCTCAATATTGGTGTAGAAGAGAACATCCTTCACTTCCGAGGTACATCTCACAACTAACCATCAGCTGGATGCTCTTTCTCTTCCGTTGTGTGACTTTTATTTATTCTGCTCTTTTTTAGGTCAAGGGCATGGAGCGAAAGGAGAAAATGAATACGAATTCAGCCTGGAATTCCTAAAACCAGTTAAGCCTGAGGTAACAGCTATCAGAAATTGCAACAAAACAAAACATCTATGTAAAACGTTTGGTTGCACAATGAAGTGCAGTGCATTTGCCTTGGTTTGCTGCCATGTTCTGTTTGCTTATGTTGGAACCACATGAAGATGTTTGTGTCCACAGGTGAGGCACAAATCCACCCAGCGGCAGGTGAATATCACGGTAAAGAAGCAGGAGCACGTCTGGTGGAATCGCCTCACTAAGCAGGAGAGGAAGCCTCTGTTTTTAGCACCTGATTTTGACCGCTGGCTGGATGAGTCAGATGCAGAAATGGAGCTCAGAGAGAAGGTAAAGAGGTTTGCTATTTAAGTTATACTTGAGGAGCTTCACAGTCGTGCACTGTCTGATGTGTTTTCTGTTCACAGGAAGAGAAAATAAACAAAGTCAGCATTGAGTCAAGGGTTCGTAAGGACCGTGAGTATATTTTTAATTCAAAGAGTGTAAAATAAACACATTGGGTCAGCTTACCAAATAATAACCGTGCATTCATTACTCCTTTTTATACAGCTTATCTTGGCTTGAAAAAGGGTTTTCTCTTTATGTACAACTTGGTCCAGTTCCTCGGCTATTCCTGGATCTTTGTCAACATGACTGTACGTCTGTTCATACTTGGGCAAGGTTAGACTCTTTTTTTTGGTTTGTTTTATTTTGTAAGCAGATTAAAGATGCATTTGTTTGTCACTGTCAGGAAATGCATTTCGTTTGAATTTTTCTGAGAAGGCCTGCAGGTAAATTGTATTTATATATATAGAAAGAGCATCTTATTGCACATGAAGTGATGCTCTGAAGTGTGAAAACTCAGTGTTCAGTATGGTCCTTACAGTTTTTTTGTCAACCCAACAGATTCTTTCTACGACACATTTCATACCATTGCCGACGTGATGTACTTCTGTCAGATGCTGGCAATAATGGAAGTTATCAATCCTGCTGTGGGGTTGGTTAAGACTGGAGTCATGCCTGCTTTCATTCAGGTATGCCTAGTGCACAGCACACCATGCTTTAGTAGCCATTTAAATGCACTTTATTTTACACTATTTGTTTTGAATATTAACTTTCATGACAGTGAGAATTATTTACATTTCTCTCGTTAAAGGTGATGGGGAGAAACTTCATCCTTTTTGTCATATTTGGTAGCTTAGAGGATATGCAGAACAAGCCAGTGGTCTTCTTTGTCTTCTATCTGTGGAGTACGATTGAGATATTCAGGTAATTATGTGAATATTAGTATGATACATGTGTGATCTTATTGTATCATGTTTAAGAGCAGTTTCTGCTAGTGGTGTGGAAATGTAGGAGTTGGTGTCAATGTGTAGTATGAATTTCTTTATCTGCAGGATATCCTTTTTTGTTTTTTATGGGTCAGATGTTACTAATTATTCAACTTCCTATATGCAGTCCTTAGTTTGTTAAAGTAAATGCATCCTCTCTTTGCTAAATATACTGAAAATTAGAACCTAAATCATAATTACAGAATACAAACTATAATATTAGAAAGACGTTGGTATTTGAGGCTAATGGTTTTAGGTAGAGCTTTCATGGTCTTTGAGCAGTGATGTTGTGTGTGTGGTTTCTGTACAGCCGCATTTTTTCTACACTTCTTCCTCTATTGCGATAAAACAAGTAGTTTTCTTCCTGTGGGCTCACACAACATATCACTATGAGACACGCATCCGTTTGCCAGTAGTGAAAGGTCACACTCATTACCTCAAAACTAAGTTTAAAAGCAATTTAAGTAGTTTATATAATAAAATAAAAATGAGAATACATATCTGCGTAAGTTTTGGATGTTATAACATATTTTTATTTCTAATTTTATATAATAATTTTTATTAAAATAAATCATATATACTACAGTTCAAAAGTTTGGGGTCACTGCGATTTTCTTCTTTTTCTTTTTAAGAAATAATCTTATTTAGCAAGGATTCATTAAATTCAGCCTGGAAAGACACTTATAATGTTACAAAATATTTATATTTCAAATAAATGCTGCTCTTTTGAACTTTTCATTAATTAAAGAATCCTTAAAAAAAAAAAAAAAAAATGGATCATGTTTTCCAGAGACATATTAACTGTTTTCAACATTGATAATCAGAAATATTTCCTAAGCAGCAAAATCATCATATTATAATGATTTCTGAAGGATCATGTAACACTGAAGACTGGAGTAATCATGCTGAAAATTCAGCTTTGACATCATAGGAATAAATTGCATTTAAAAAAAATATATTTAAATAGAAAAGGTAAATTGTAGTACTATTTCACAATATTGTTTTTATTGTATTTTTGATCACATAAATGCAGCCTTTGCGAGCATAAGAGACTTCTTTCAAAAACGTTAAAATAATCTTACCAAATACAAACAGTAGTGTATATTGAGCTTGGTCCTCCAAGCGACTTTTGTTGGATAAAAACGGATATATCTAATCCTGCTTTTGTAATAATGAACTATAGGTATCCTTTCTACATGTTGGCCTGCATTGATACCGAATGGAAGTTGTTGACTTGGTTGAGATACACCATATGGATACCACTGTACCCTCTTGGAGTGCTAGCTGAAGGTATGTGTATCTGTAGACTATCATAAGGAAAACTCATGATGTGTTCATGAGACAGTGAGAACTGACAGCTTTTCTCATGCTCTTAT